AGAAAACAAATCTCGTATTCATTATTACATCCACCAAAGACGTTATGTTTTCACCTGTGTCCCTTTTTTTGTTTGTCTTCCAGCAGGATTACACAAAAACTACTGGACGGATTTTCACAGAACTTATTTGAAGGATGAGGGAAGAACCCGTTCAATTCTGCTGTTGATCCAGAACAGGGGCTCCAGTAACTTTAACATTGTGATATTTGTAATTTACTAATAATATAAATGGATCTTGATGAAAAAAATCAGGCACATTTAGTCGACAAACATCTATGAGTGCGTGAAATTTTGTGCATGAAATTTTGCTTCATAAGGAGACTGTGATGTGATGTTCTAATGTTAAATATGTCCAAAGTATATCATGAATAATGCCAGTGGAGACTCTTCTCGAATTTGTTTGTTTGTCACTCCGGCCACTTTAACACTGACTCCTGCTGTTCATGTCAAGTCGACATTTTGTGCTCAGCACAAAATGTCGACGAGTGATTTTTCATGATATTTGAATGCAGCCTCATAAACTCTGGAGCGAATCAAACAAACACCAATTTACTTCATGTACTGATCAGGTCCTGATAGATAGATTTTTATTCATCCCAGAGGGAAATTCTTGTGTTCCAGCAGGACGATGCTGCAGCTGATTGGACCAATAATTCATTAATGTACTTAAGTAGATTTTTCAGGTATCTGTAGGTTCACCTACTTAAATCAACGCCAGCACATTCCCCATCCATTTATTCCCTGTAAAACATGATCCAGGTGCTCATGCAGGACTTCGTTCAGTTCAGTCTTTATTATTCTGTCTGAAATTTGGCAAACTATTGTCCAGTGATTTGTTTCCTCTGGACCAGCTCTGTGCAGGTTCAGAGGAAAACAATCCGATTTTGTCTGCCTACAAACTTTTTCTTTTTCCAGAGCATTTTCACTTTTGTACTTGAGTACATTTTAGAGCCTTTACTTTCTTACGTTTACTTGAGAAATGGAGTTGAATCAGTACTTCTGCTTTTACTAGAGTCTTTTTTTTACACAAGTATTTGTACTTTTACTTAAGTAAAAAATGTGAGTACTTTTGCCACCTCTGTGATTGGATGATGATATTCAGAGGCAAGATGTATCACTCACTTGAAATGAAACGTTATTCAAATTTAATGGGTAAATATCAAAATAAATGAATACAGAGTTCAGAGATGTAAGTGTATGTATTTGTGTATAAATACATAAGATATCTGAAGAAACTTGTGCATAATAATATTGTTGTGCTGTTATTTAATTTCTACCAATTTGTCTTCACTAGATTTACAAATGCAAATAAAAGATGCACAAACAGAAGGAGAGAAAAGTCCAACTTACCACGGCTCAGATTTCCTGAAAATAAGTGATGTTAGGTTCATAAAAGAAGCTGGAACAAGATCAAATATCAACTGAGCTGAAGGAGGAAGCCACATTCTATATATTTCAGCCGTGCATGAAAGTGGGTGTGTTCTTTTCATCCGTTAGTCACCTCTTCATTTCTGTTTCCAGATCCCACCAACAGAGAGCTTCACATTCAAACCTTGTGTTTCTGTCATCGAGCGCATTAAATAGGTTTTATTGTCGTCTGCAAACATCACCAACAAACTCGGCTGCAAGGTGAAGATGCAGCTGAGGGATTGTTGGGAGTCTTAGGAGCTGGACCACAAGAATTCTAATGTAAAATGTATTGCTGGGGTCAAATCGAGTCACATGAAAAATAAGAGAAATGAAAGTAGATACATCTTTTTATATTAAAGCAGCAGCTTGAGGTTTCAGTGACTGTGGAGAAATGTTTCCTCATCCTGAATGAAAACCACCTCTTCACTCTGACACTTTGCCCAACACAAATCATCACCAGGGTGCTGCTGCTCAGTAAAAGTTAGACTTCTGTAACAGTGTCACATAACGAGCAGGAAGGGAAATACTAGTAAACATAATATTACTGTGCTGCAGGTTGATTGGAGACTTCGGAAACTACTCATGAAAAAAAACATTTAATAATAAACACAGAGAGCTGCAGATTTTGCTTAGTCTTGTATTTCAACATACGATAACAGAGTTAACACAAAATAATTAATAACATATTGTTTTCATCGTGCTGTTTGGTTCGTTATACAAAATATTGGTCATCATATATATACACATGTGGTTTTCTTCTTCATCAGCAGAAAACAAGTCTGATCAACCGAGGGACAGATGTTCAGAGGCTCTTTTCACTTCAGCTCGAGCTGCAGGAGGAGAAGAACAGCAATAATGAAGATTTCTCTATCGAGGGACATTTCTGAATTTTATTTGAGGAAATTAGGAATGAGTCTGATTGTTTTTTAGACTTATGGTGGGGGGAATAAACAGATTTCCAGAGGAGCTCCTACCTTTAGCCCACATTTTATAGACTGACACACACACTATGAGTATCACGGTGTGCAAGATGATCAGCAGGATGGTATAGACCAGCCTGGGCGGAGACATGAGAGGAGGACGAGGAGGAGGAGGAGGAGGGGGAGGAGGAAGAGGCTGAGCTCCGACTGCATGAGAGAAGAACAAATAACCAGCACGTGTAGTTGCTGTAGTTGAGAAATTATTTTAACAATCGCACACCACAAGCAAAGTGTTTCTAAATTTCTTGAACCATGGAGATTTAAACTGATTTAGACTGGACATAAAGATGGAGGCCATGACAGCTCCAAAAAGTGAAGCCAAATCATTTGGACTGACACCTGGTGGCTGACTGCAGTATAGGTCATGAACCTCAATGTTAATGGATGGGTGGATGGACGTCAAATAAATATTTCTAAAAGATGGTTTCTGTAATTTTAGCTAGTTGTTTTGTTGTTTCATCCGTTAGTCACCTCTTCATTTCTGTTTCCAGATTCCACCAACAGAGAGCTTCACATTCAAACCTTGTGTTTCTGTCATCGAGAAGCATTAAATAGGTTTTATTGTCGTCTGCAAACATCACCAACAAACTCGGCTGCAAGGTGAAGATGCAGCTGAGGGATTGTTGGGAGTCTTAGGAGCTGGACCACAAGAATTCTAATGTAAAATGTATTGCTGGGGTCAAATCGAGTCACATGAAAAATAAGAGAAATGAAAGTAGATTCCTCGAAGTCAGATTATTTATGAAGGCAGAGAACACGGAACCTTATTTCCAGGCAGACAGAATTAAGGCTGATTTGGAAGCGTTCAGACCTGAACTTGTGATTGGATCGCTCAGGACTGATGTTAACACCAGGTCTGACCTCAAAAGGGTTTGAACTCTTTTTTAAGAATACAAACTTTCACCTGACCTTTGCTGCTCACAGCTAACCAGCTCTGCGGCGACTGTCCTTCCGTGGGGTGTTCACACATGTAGAGACCTTCGTCGGACCTGGACACCGACGGGAGGGTCATTTTTCCAGAGGCATGAGTCCCAATGAAAGCGCCGTCTTTGTAGAAGTTTGCATAGAAGTTAGAAGTGGCTCTGTTGTTGTCTTCCTCCTTGTATTGGCAGAGAAGCACCACTTCATCTCCCTCCGTCACAGGAAGAGCAGAAATCCACAGAATCACTGTGCCACCTGGAAAACAAGCGAATGATCAACCTGTTGTGGAGAAAAAGTCAGCATCAAACACAAATACAAAAAAAGGTCCAAGGACATGTGGCGTTACTGGTAACGGTGAGGTTGATGGCGTTACTGCACTCGCCGCGCTCAGACTGACACCAGTACACGCCACTGTCAAATAAATAGGCGTTCTGAATGGTGCAGGAGGAGGGGTCACGTGTCTTGCCCCAGCCAGATTTGCATGGCTCAGAACTCCGAGAGGAGGTGTTTCTCCTCAGTGTCCAGACACCGGAGTCTGGCGGCACTGCACAGCTCAGATTGATGGAGTCATAGTGATGGAACTGAGATCTGTCGAGCTGGATGGTGAGTGTCGCTGCTGCGGATTCACACAGAGAGAAAAACAGAGATTTAAAACCATCAGACTGAAGCCTGGGCCTTCAACAGAGCTTTTTACACAGGGTGTTGTTTTCACGTGTGTGTGTGTGTGTGTGTATGTTACAAAATAACTCCACTACGTATCGACAGATTTTCACCAGTCCTGGAGTGAATATTACTTTATCTGAAGGTGATCAGATTTTGGAGCTGATAGGTCAATGGTCAAGGTCAACAAAAATATGCTCCAAAATAAACTACAAAATCTCTGCAACCTATCAGACTATCGACACGACCTGAAGCTTATATAGACGGAAAAATCTTCCTAGTTCCTATGTAATTTATGTCATCATGTAGTTATGCATCAACTTTGGTAACCAACAAGAATAGAGACACTCACGCTCAAAACTTTCCACCATATACTGACGCCAGGAAATAAAAGACTGTGTTACAATCAAATGTTATAGAAATATAAGCTGGTGAAGCTTTAAATCTCTCAGAGGAAATGAGTCACAAACTGTTATTGAAATTAGAGGAAGAGTTTTAATCAATATTCATTTGAAAAAAATAATTAAAAAGATAAAATAGCTCACAAATCGCGAGGCAGATTGATGCGATGTCCATCCTGTCCCCAGGTTGTTTGTCTTCTTCTCAGTCAGAATGTCAATGTACCCACATCCTGACACCAACAGGAAACTGAGCAGACACTGCACAGAGACCCTACAGATGAAAACTGCACTCTACATCAAAATGAGATGAACTCATAAATCACTTCACTGTGAACTCATGAATCACTTCACTGTGAACTCATGAATCACTTCACTGTGAACCAGGAGTTAGTGTTGAAGTGTAGTTACTACTGGAACAAGTTTAACTGGAGGGGAAGTACACTGGACCTTGTTACAGTTGCTTCAACCACTTATTTAATATTTTGCTTTACAAAAATGTATTGTTTTCCACAAGCCATTAACTTTTCAGCTAATTTATTATCATTATCCATTATCATTATCAGCCATCATCATTTTCTATTCACACAATTACAATTTCAGACATGAGCCATACTTAATCTCTGTAAATCTTTATTATACAATATAATTATACAATCATTTGTTGCACATTGCACATATTTCTATTTTTAAAGAAGGTATTTTTAACTTATCAATTACATTTGCTAAGCATGCACTTCACAATTCATTTTTTGCTGGAGTGCCATTTTGTTTCCATATGTTTGTCAAGAACAGGAAGCTCAATCTCTGCACACCCGCAAAAATTCACACCAGCCAGAAAAAGTTTCTGATAGTGTAGAAACTTTTTCTACACTATCGTAAAGTGAAGATAGATTGAAGTGTCTTCATCATAGAAATTATAAGCTAAATATAATCGTAGACATTTTTTAACACCAGTATTGCAATCCTAAAAAAGATATTTTTTAAATATGAATTTTCTTAGTCTAGAGATGTATCTGCCAGGACATCGTAACGGTTCGGAGTCACAGCTGAGTAAGTGTGTCTGCGTTGGGGCTTTGTAGCCTTTGAATGAGAGCGGGACTCAGACAAGCGTTTTGAAGGCTTTTCCTCTGAAACAGACTTTCGAGAAGAATCGGCCGACTCAGGACGAGTAGTGACACCGCTGCTGAAGCGCCCGACAGCAGTTTGCCTCCCGGAGCCAGGTTTCTTAGCCTTTTTCTGGAAGCTGACGGATTTTAAATGGTTGTCATTGGATGTGGCCAACGGATTTGGATTGCTGCCGTTTGGAAACTGGTGTGGGTTAATGCTATTAGATTTGGGAGGACTGAGGTCTAACGTAGGCTGGTTGAGATGGCATGGGACAGGGCTCTGCTTCGATCTGAGACTCAGTTCTTCACGTAGTTGGGAAATGATGCTTTGTTGTTCTTGAAGCTCCGACTCCAGTTCCCGTATTTTGATCTGATGCTCACTGGAGACGTCTGGATTGCTGGATTCAGACTGTTTTACCACATGGTAAGTCTGTGCGTCCGTTTTTAGTACTAATGGCTGATTTGGCTCTAGACGTTGTTTTCCTCTCACTGTGTGGACACAAAACAAATCATTTTTTTATGCCTGACATTTGGTACAAACATTCTCTACTTACAGCTTTTCAATTGCTCCTTGTTGGAAACAGGTCATTTTTAACGAAATTCTGATATTTTCAAGACCAACGATTAATTGCTTGATGAAATAAATAATCGTTCAACTAATAAAATGAAAATAGTCGTTGTAAGCTTTCTTCGGTTGCAGCAAGTTGCTTGGATTTGGAAGCTTGAATCTCTGCTAATACCACAACTACAGTTCATTCAATGAATAAAATAAAAAGCAACGGTGCTTCAACCCTTTGCCAAAGGCTTATTTTTAATCAACAAAGTACAGAACTTCCTGAAAGACGGCAAAACATATATAATATATATAATATAACATACACCGGTGGTGATTTTGTGTCTGCAGGTAAAAGGAAAAATGTTTCTGACTTACCACGGTTGGAATATATTTTATACGAAATATAAATGAGTCCAAACACCACAGCAACAGCAGCAACAACACTGCACAAAACTGTGCAGGTCATCGTGGATTTAGCTGAAATGACAATTTTTACCAACATGTTATTTCAGAAATGTTACAAACTTCATAATCATTGATTAATGACTTGTTCCAATTAAAAATCATTCTGTCTAGATGCACATCAGACCTTCTGAAGTAGTTTGTTTGATCAGCAGAGGACGCTCATTATTATGACCTATTGCCTGCCCTCTGCCAAACTGGACATTTGGCAGGTGCACCTCTGAGCAAAGCCAAGTAAAGTGAGGACGGAGTCCGACATTTCCTTCATGCTCTGGAAGCTTTGGAGGACGTTATTTCTGAACATTAGAACCTGAAAACCTTTTCAGGTAATAACACTACATTAAACTATCAACCTGACGTATTCTATGTCTCCATGAAAGCATGAATGTAACTTTATCTTTCAGTGAATCCAGTTGATCCAGGAGGATAGTTAAAGCTCCAGTGTACCTGTAAAGTAAATCTGTGCATCTGTGAACTGGTTTGTGTGAGGCTGGAGAACTCTGCAGGTGACCCTGTGTGAAAAACACAAAAGATACAAGTATTGAGTTTGTGTTGTTTCAGTTCACAGATGTATTCTCCTGGAAGAGACGACTGTAGATGTACATTTAAATCGTGAAAAGATTCAATCAAAACTCTTTTATTTCCTGAAAACAAAACCTCCATGGTGGAGATAAGAAGAAGATGTGACTGCTTCACAGTGGCGCCAGATAAACATCTCAAGTTAGAAGTTTTGAGAATAAACTTAAAATAAACCTTTCGCTCGCATTCGGCACTGTCACTCTCCAGGTGATGGTCCAACATCCCCTGGAATCTTGACGTCGCTTTGGGACTTCTTGAGCATTAATGTCCTTTTCTTGATGGTCAAGAAAAGTCATCTGAAGCTGCGGCAGCGAGCTGTTCACCTCACACTGCAGAGTCTCCATGTCACCCGCAACCACTGAGAGCTTTGGCTGGAGGGGAGCACCTATAAGACCAGTGAACGCATCGTCCAATATTTCTGTTAACAAACTTTTTTTTATATTCATCTCAAATCATAAATAAATCATACATTCCAGTGGACTTACACACAATGAGCTCCAGTGTTCTGACAACCCCTGACTGCGACCTATGGAAAACCCTGCAGTTGTACTTTCCTGCATCCGAGGGCCGCACGTTTGAAATCCTCAAAGAGATGTTTCCATTTTTCACTTCACTCATGATGAGACTCGTCCTGAACTGGAATTCCTGATCCTTCATCTCGAAGGTCTCACAGCCGTCCCGGTACACAAAGATGAATTTGGTTTTCTGACCCACCTTGGTCCACTCCACCGTTGGGTTTTGAATGCTGGTACTGATTTGACACGGCAGAAGAACCGATTCGCCAGCAGAGGCCAGGATCTCATTCTCACTTTTATCTGAGGTTCCTCCTGAGAATAAAAAGACACACGAACATTTTTACTTCTCATTATCACCAAGTCCAATGATTAAAAAAAACAAACTCTGGTTAATTAAATCCTATTGACAAGTATAATTTGTGTAAGTCTGATTCCGTTTTATTTTAATCTAGAGATGAATTATAACTGAGGCAAAAGGACCAACTTGAGGTAAGTCTCACAAAGTTTGTTCGTCGTAACAGGATTAGAGCTGAGAGCCACAAACAGGATCGGGAATAGAACCCAACCGATATACATTTTGGAGATCAATGTTAAAGACATATATTTATCATAGTGATATATTTAAACAATAACTCTTAGATTACACGATCAACAGTGGAACCATTCACTTTGCAAGGTCAAAAGGAAGAGGCATGCAGCTTCTCTCGATGCACAGAGAACCAGGAAGACCGAGTCCAGGATCGAATCCACAGGGGGAGAAGTGAATCGTGTGATCGTCAAAACACAAAAAACAACAACGTGGAGCATTGAGACCAAAGTGTCACACACCTGCACAACCCGACAGCAGAGCGGCGAGCAGCAGAAGACGAGTATTCATGACTCCACCAGAAGAGTTCCCGGAGCTTTGAATGAAAACGATCAATTAAAAAAAAAAAATCGAATTCCTCAGATGTCCGCGTTAAAGATGTGTTCAATTCAGTCAGTGGGAAAGAAACGCGGAAATGAAACAAGCAAAACTACGAGGTCAACATAAATCCCCAGTGAAATGAATAAAAGACGGACGATACGTTCCCACAAATATTTATATACAGTCTATGGTCTACTGTCAGTCGAACTGTCATGTGACTTCCAAAGTCGCATCGTTGAGTTTCCCAGTTGGAAACTTTGCGTCTCAGATTTCCAACCGGCCGTGAAGGCATCATCCTCACCCAAGGGCCTGCGTAGATTTGATCGCACATCACAGATTGCACATTCATGGTTCCACAAATACTGTGAAGTACTTATACTGTGTACTTTTTGAGTCATCCTCTGTTAAAGTCCCCTCCTCAGAACAAGAATGAACTTCTTCTGCTGTCTTTGATGAGGGATAAAAAGTATTTTTGCCAGAAGTCCAACATGAGACTGACATTGTTAAAGTACCAGTTAGACCACTGCCTGCCTGCTGATGAGCTGGAATTGCACAATGTCTGGCCATGGACCAAAACACAGACATTCACAACATGAGGAAACATGTCGTGTTCTGATCTGATCTCAGTTAAACTGTGCAATACTTTCAGTGTCAGTGCAATACTGTAATATCTGTAATTGAAATGTCAGACTGAATATTGTTATCATGGCAGGACTACCGTAATATCTCTATAACGAAGGTTTCTTTGCACAGTTTACAAAATTGGTGTTGTAGACAGAGATCGATGACAAAGACAGAGATCAATGCCAGAGAGACAGAGATCAATGACAAAGATTAAAGGCAAATAAGAAGTTGACAGCATAGGTATAAATGGCAGGAATACAAATCTGTCATTTCATTTGAGAGAACTTATTTTCTGAAGGATTAAGATCCTGATTGAAAATATCTAACACTGGAGGAGATGCTGAAACCCGTTGACAACAAACTGGAGTTGGACAACCTGGACCAAGCCCGGATTTTCGTGTCCTTGTTGACAGCAAGAGTGCTGTCTGATTGCAAGTTTGAGAATAAAGTAACACCGGAAGAGTGGATCCAGTACTGCAATAACATTACCGACAGAGTGATGGAGGGGATCACTGTCCCATCTGGGTATATTGCCAACTTTAAGGACATCAAGAAAGTAGGCAAGGCCGTGATGCATGACCTGAAGAAAGATATCGGCAGCAAGGAGCTGCTAGAGCTTATGTTGGCAGTACAGAAGCTACATATGGCTGACGTCCTCGACCGAACTCTGGTGAAGCACACCAAGCTGTACTATAAGAAGAGTCGATCACCTAAAACCCGGACAGACACTGTTGGGAGTGTTTTCATGCAAATGGGGAATACGATCATGTTCTTTATGAATATCTTACTCTCCATTTTACTTCTGTAAAAGCTGCATGTGATTGAATGCTGGTCACAGGAATGAGGCCTCTGTTCTGTTGCCCCCCCACCCCTAAATGAAAGTAATTTAAACAACACATTTTGTGTTATGTTTTTCTTGTCTGACAGATTAATAAGTGGTGACCTCGAGGCAAACCCTTAAGTGTACATGAAAAATTGACAGATGTTGTACATATAGTACATCTAAAGAAATAATTAGTAATAAAAGGACAAATTATATATAAATAAATACATAATATCAAATAATAATGTTTTATAATATTATCTGAAGGGATAACGTATGCTTATTTATCATCTTTTGAATTAATTAGTAGCAGCAGTTTAACCTTTAGAAACAAATATGGTATAAGTTATTTACAACAATGAAAATATATAGTGAAGTATAAGTACAATATTTTCTAACTCTAAATACGACCATTCAGGTGACCTCTGAAATGTATTTGAGCCCAGCACAAGAAGCCATGATGGTGACAGTCCTAATGGAGATTACAATCATTCATACACATTTTATTTCCACACTTTAAATGTGTTATTGTTCACAGAAAATCAACTCTGGAAAAACTACAACAAATAAAATCTACATGGATTCAGAGGACATTAATGAATATACAAAGAGGACAAGTTATAACCTTTAATCTGCTGCCATAATCCTAGTTTATAAGCATTACGTCTCGTTCACAACAATGCGGTAGATTTTAATGCAAAAATGCTGCATGCTTCACGCAGGAATGTCAATGAGCTGTTGTGAAACACGGAGCTTTCTCTCAAAAGGCACACAGTCGAGGTGCTTTTCTAAACTGCACGTATGCAGACGATACGTTTCCTTCCAAAAGTTCAAGTGAATCAACTCTTCACCTATCAAACCGTTTCAAGTCAGAATTGAGATATTAACTGAATGAAAAATGCAGACATTTTAAGAGCAAACTGGGTTAAAGACAGCAAGAGGCGAAGCATTTTAACAAAAGCTTACAATATGAAAGGAAATTAATAAAGTGGACATTTGATAAATAGCACGACGGAGAAACTGGACAAACAAACACAAAAACCTTGAAGATAAAAAAGAGAGTTGCCAATATACAGCTTGTAACAGGAAATGATTCCAGGAAATGTCATTGTTGGCATGTCACAAAACAAGCATTATTATTTTCTCCACCACTAGTTTCAGAAGCTGTTTGAAATGAGTGGGAGGTGTTTCATAAAGTCATGATGTGTCACTGAATCAGCATAGGCTGGGACATTTTGATAAGCATACTAGTGCACTTGAAAAAGTGAGTTTTAAAAAAAATAAAAACATGACAGCAGCACGGTGGCAGTTTCTCACTGGACCACAAGATTGTGTTAAAGGAAACTATCGCTGCAATGTTGTTTTCAAAGGGGTGTCATGTTACACAACATTAAAGCAACACTATGTAACTTTCTTTTACCTTAAACCAGCAGCGTGATTAAAGTGAGTTGGATGTTTGAGTGTGAACACGGAGAAAGTTTCCTCCTTCACTCCCTGAGCGTCTGTTCTCTGTAACTCTGCTGAGTGGGATCGATCTCCTGTGAGAAGAAGTGACTGAGAGTCACAGCTTCAACTGTCACAATCAGTGAAGCTGAACTGTGATCAGTTCAAAACACTGAGACGTTATTAACAACCAGAGTTTATCTCCAATATTCAGCAGGAAACTTTAAAACATGAAGAATTCTAAACAGAGTTTGGTGGATTTGTTACAGCCGCAGCTCTCCTGGTTCAGGAAGCAGAGGATCATGGGTAATATCCCTCGTTCAGATGTGTTTTCTCTCTCTGCATGTGTCGAACATGTGGACAACAGAATTAATCACGTGTGGCTGTGGACGCTGTTGCTTTGTGAAAGTTACATAGTGTTGCTTTCAACATATCGTCTCTCTTAGTCCTTCCTGTTAGTCATCCTACAACCTTGTTATTTGTTTTAGCTGACAATGAGTTTTGCGCTTTTGCATCACTGCGTTTTAAAACACAATTTAATAACAAAACCATAAAATATGAGATCAGGGCTGCAAATAAAGCAAAAATTGTAGTTTGTCAGGTACAAACAGTCGAAAGTAGAACTTCACTTGATTATTTTACTACCCTCTTAAACCATGCTTGTTCGTCATCGCCCTCATCCCTGCCTTCCACCTCAGTGGACCAGCTCCAGCTGGCTGGTGGAGAAAGGAAGGACCCCGCTGACGTAGTAGGCGATGCCCAGCGAGAGGAGGGCAATGACCACAAGCAGCAGCAGAACCCGCCAGAAGCCCAGGTCCTCCACAAACTCCTGCCAGGTGGTCCTGAAGCTGGACAGGACGCCCTCACTGCTCTGCAGGTTGGGGTTGAGCAAAGAGTGGCTTTCCATCGCACTGGGAGAGACAGAGGGGAAAAAAGGAACAATGGACTCAAACACAGTTTTTACAGGAACAAACCAGATTAAACAGCTGGAATCCTCAATTTTATTGAAGCAGTTTTAACTTCATGATTATTTCTGAGGATGTTGTTTGTGGAGCTGTTGAAGTATTTTGCATTACACTGAGAGGTTTTTCTGTTATTTCTGTGCACCTCATTCACATCAATCATAAATGTACTATAGGCCTAAATATTGTTCTAAAAACAATCCCTGCTTACCTCTCACTGTCAGCCATCTGCATGGTCTCCAGCTTGGAGTGGGGCCCTCTGTTGAAGCCTTTCACCTCCTGCTCCTCCAGTCCCTCCAGCAGGCGAATGGCGTCCTTGTTGACGCCGCGCCTCTTCGCCAGCACCAGAGGAGTCGATCCATTGTGATTACTGTTGTGGAGTAGATGGCTTCGCATTAATAGACACATGAACTTGAACATAAATTTCAAGTGTATAAAAAAAGCAGCTTCAATAAAAAATGTACAAACTGATTTACATGAAAAAAAATCCACAAACAACAAAACACAGGGGATTAAATATTGGGGGTAAAATGAAACGTAAATAAAAAAAAAACATTAACACTTGACCGAATATCATCCATACAAACTGAGATTACTTCATTTCTTACCAGATATCAATCTTCAGGCCGTTGGACACCAGGAATTGTATAGTGTCCACGTGCCCGCACAGATGCAGTGCTGTGTTCCCTTGATAATCAGTCGCTAACAGATCAGCCCCGAACTTGTGTAGCAGGCGACATATGTCCACGTTTCCTCTGGCGGCGGCTAAGTGCAGCCCCGTGCGGCCCCGGTTGTCACGGATGTTGGGATCGCATCCCGTCTCGAGGAGCCTCTTGGCGAAGGGCAGGTCTCCATCGATGCAGGCCTGCAGCAGAGGCACGTTGGTCTGCGACGAGTCGTTGATGAAGACATAGGACATGTCCGAGTGGGTGTCAGAAAATTCCAGCGTACCTGCGATGAGGAAAAACAACCGACAGTAAAAATAACAATCTACACAATTCATTTGTTAGGGTTACCACAATAGGTGCATATTGTTAATTTCACTGATGCTCCTGATTCTCACATCTTTTAAAAGCTCTATTCCAACGTCGTATTTAAACAGTATGTCGCCGTCAATATTAAAAAAAACAAGAATATAATGAGTGATGACGGTTTCATCATGTTATGTCATCAACAACTCAACATAGAGTTTAGTCATTGCTGTAACGTAATGTTTGTATCTGACGTGGCATCGCTTCACTTCTTCATAACGAAGCAGGTCGTGATGAGTCACACGTAAAATACCGATGCACAACTTTATTGATGGCTCCCAAGACACTGGACGGTTTGTTAGAAGAAATACAACATGGTGGAACCCTGACGTGAAAATACACATGCAGCAACAACAATCATGACATTCAACATCTTTCTGAACCCCGCGAGCAGAAATGTCCTGTAATGACCAACAACGCTGCAACATCACTTCAAGCTAATTCCCCTCAAACAAACATTCATGTCATTTATTATTTATATTTTTAGCAAGAAAAAAAAAAAAACACAGGTTCAGACGTGCAGCGGTAACAATGGCGGCCAACTACGGCGTTAGCAGCTAGCAGGGATGATGGGGCAGCGACGGGGAATAATAACGATGACACGATAATCCTGATAAACCGTTCGTCTCCGCGCACATGGAGAATGAAACATCAACCTGCAGGTGCTGCGAGCTAACAAGCTAGCGGAGCTAACGGTAGCTTGTTAGCAAAAAACCTTCAACGCGCCGCTGAGGCTGATTAACGTGTGATTTTAAAAACCGACGCATCCTACACACGAACTACGCAATGAACCCAGAGCCCGCGCTGAACCGTCTGCAGCCACTCACCTGTTGACGAGTCCCAGACCAGCAGAAACAAACACGCGTCGCGTTCCTTCGAGCTAACGCCGCTAGCAGTGTTGTTGTTGTTATGACGCTAACCTTCTACTTCGGGTCATTTGGAGGCTACAGCGAAAGCTTCGGCGCCACCTGCTGCCCGGGAAGTGAAGTGCCTGTAATTCTGCCTCAGAACAATTATAGCGTCAATTAGATAAACTCTAAAAATATACACCTAACTCTGACGTAGCCTTTATTATTGTGACTGTAAACCTATTCATACGCAGTGTACAAGTACATCTTTATATGATTACACATCAGATGCTACTATTTAGTAGTTCACTGTGAAATATTTCAGTTTATATGTTTATACATGTAAACATTTGTTCAATATTAACTCAATATTTCCATCTGCAGTGAAATGTTTATGATATGTACATTTTCACTGTATAATTGTATAACTTCATTATTTTTTATTTATTTATACCTTCACATGCTCCCTCATCTACCTCGTTCCGACTATCTGCAGCTATAACGAGTTTATTTCCCAGATGTGGAATAAATAAAGTATCTTATCTCATCTTATTCATGAAATAGCTGCTCGGTTGTATGTAGGATAAAAGCGCCAGCTAAATGATATGTAATGTATAACTAAGGCAATGCACATAAACTAAACAGATTTTTTTAATTTGGAGCAACACATTCTCAAACATGATATTCACATAGGTACAACAAACACACAAACACGATATTCTCATCAGGAACACATGATTTTACCTTTGAATCCATCTTCCTCGTGTTTCCAGACGGAGCTGAAACTCACAAATAATAATAATAATTCCGTATTTATCTGTTGGATTAGAAACTTTATTTCCAAATGTGTGAGCAGAGAAATACACATTACAATAAAAGACGTGTTTTTTTTCTGTTATAGATCCTCTTTGAGGAAAAACTGCACTTTTCTTTTCTGTCACTCCAGGCACTTTAAGCATGTCGCTTGTTGAACTTGTGGTAAAAGAGCAAATGGACAACAACCGCTGTCACATCTGTTAAATCCTCAGCTGTGAATATACTTTCCATATAAAAACATCCTAAAGACATTTTTTCCATAATATTTAATGTACACATCATAATCTTCCCATTCCCTCCCATCTCAGTAAATAAAACCAAGGGATAGTATCAAGACTTAAGTAAAATAATTACAATCTAGATTACAAACCAGCAAATGCAGACAAAAACTGAGGAAAAATAAAAACAAAACAATTAAAATGTGACATAGGGAATAACATCAGGGCTACCAGCAGAGCTATGTGCAGACACAGAGGTCATAGTGGTTACAAGTCACCCAGAGGCTTTCACTGCCCACGGATATTATCAAAAAAACACGTATACGATGCAAATTAAATGTAAAAAATGATCTGGATAGAAAATAAGAAATGTCATCCTCTTTTTTGTATCCGCGAACAGTGAAAAGACACGAAACTGGGAGAACATCTAAATAAAATAAGGAGTTAACATTATAGACGTTTGCGCTAACATATTTTTCTGGGGAATACAGTAAGCACTATGTACAGCAATAATTAATCTGTGTGTGTGTGTGTGTGTGTTTCCTCTTGTACATTGAACGTGAATGAATAAAAAGGGTTCAATGTGATTAAAAAAAAAAATACTAGTTTGGTCGCAACATAAAAAGAAATCCTGTGAAAGTGGAGATGAGGAAACACGCCCCTTTATCCAACTCGTTTATCATTCTGATCCAGAGGAGCTCACATCAGTGCAATATATATCTATCTATATACATATATATATATATATATATAGATAGATATAAATGAGTGGCCTCATTCAAACCACTGGAGTTAACTGTTGCAGAGGTTTGTCTTTTTGTTGCAGGTAAAATAGAAATCGTTAAATGCTGCATCTCAAGTCGACTGTCAGGGTTGTGTAGCACCAAATGTGAAACGTGCAAATATCACAGGAATATGAGACATGACAAATGCATAGTTAGAGCACTGTGCTGATGGTTTTGCACGTTTTGCACAAAAATACTTGCACAGAACACACATTAAAAGTTTAGTCTTCAGTATCACCTAAAACAAAAGCTTGAGGAAACGTAAGTGAGCGTAGCTTGAGTTAAGACAGATTTCCTGATTCCAAACTGCTTCACAGTCATTTATGTAGAGAACTGTAACTTACTCGAAAACAACAAACTTGCATTGAAACGAACATTCAGTGGATTTGTTTCATCGGTTATGTTGAAGCTATAAGCAGAACTTGTTCTGAAAAGTTTTTCTTTGAAAGCTACAGAATCTAAATATGTCGGAGAAAAAAAAAAACGGAAACTGAGTAAGTATATCAGTGTTTTTGCTTTAACGGGAATAGTTGCAGTTTGAGGATTAGTACAACAACGACGCAGAATTCAAAAAAATATGTGTTAATAGTTTCTTCTCTTTTTTTGTTTCTTCTTTTTCTCCTGCAAACCAGCTAACAGGTGCATTACTGCCACCTTTAGATAGTGGATTTTGGAGTTTCCTTGAATATACTATTACATATATATATATATATATATATATATATATATATAGTGTCTGTGTTTCCATTATTGCAATAAAAGAAATAATAAAAACTGTAGATGTCTCGAGCAGGTCTCAAGTCTCTGCAACTTGATTTTCAAACCCATACATTGAAGCTTTTCATGCAACACGTGCAAAATCATCAGGACAGAAGATGCGGCGGCTTTGGCTGTAAATAAACTGCAGTTACACTTGTATCTGTCGGTAAATACAAAAGAAGCTACGTTTTATTGTGGCTGTTTCATTACAAGTGTATCTTTGAGCCAGGGTCAGGTGAACGTCTGCTCCAGTTAAACCAGATCAGCTGTCGAGAGTCACATCACAAACATCCGACCCTCCGCCCTGATCTGACTTATCTGGAGCTCGACGAGTTAGCGTGGGGGGGGGGGGGGGGGTGCGATCCGAAGTGGCGGCACTCTCCGAGGTAGCCGAGAAACGATTCTCGCCCAAAAAACGTAACGAGACACAAATGAAACACAAAAGAACATAAACAATAGCACCATTGTCAGTGATAATCGAGAGAAGACCCTTCTCTTTTCATTTCCTCCATCCAACACTCATTCCTAAAAGGGGATAAACATTAAAACAACACTCTGAAAACGCACCGGTGTCGCTCGACTTAATCGTGAAAACATCGGTGAAGCAGGAGAGGGGCTCGTTTTCAGTCAGTCACATGTTCTTGGTTTTATAGATTTCTTTTTAAATCATTTCCTCCTCCATCATTAACACCTCTCTTTATTTCCTTTCCTTGAAGTGTTTGTATATCACCTCCTATTGTTTCCCTCCCTCCGCTCCTCCATCCTTCACCTCCTCCTACAAGATCTTGCTGCAGACTTGGCAGCGGCTGACTCGGGAGCGCTCCTGGCCTCCCTTCAGGGTCTCCTGTGCCGGCGAGTAGCGGAACTCCTGGCTGGGATCAACGGTGATGAGCCAGAAGCTGTACTTGTTGGCGAAGTAGTGGCAGGTGCCTTTGCCGCCGTTGCACTCGATGAACGGAGTTGCGCGGAAATCCTCCAGACAAGAGCCGGGAGACACCAAGGACTGACCGCCGCCCTCTGCGCCCGCCGCCGTGTGCTGTGAAGGAATAAAGAAAGAAAATGTAACACTTCGTAACTCCGACAGATGAAATGATGAATTAATACAATCTAACAGCAGTTTAAAATGATGCTCAACTAATCTCTAGGAAATGGGAGTAGTTTTTTATTGACGTACCATCAGGAAGGAGTATCCTATCCAGAGACTCCTCCAGCCGGGGGGGCAGCTGGGGATGTTCATGTCCTGGCTGTGGACCGCCACAGCCTGAGACGGCGCCTCACAAACCGAACACCTGGAACGGACAGGAAGTGTACGTTAGACGTTACATGAACATTTTTTAAAACCCCAGCCGTCGCACTTTAAAGAGCGTTTAATACCTGCTGATATAACGTTGGATCTCCTGCTCGGCCACGGGCATCATGGGTATGGGCGCGGTTGTGGAGAGCCAGTATGACTTGTCGTTGCGGCTGGCGTAGTAGCAGATCTCGTTGGGGGAGCAGTAGAGGAAGGGGATGGTGCTGAACCTGGGGAGACACGAGCCCGGCTGACCTGCGAGAGACAAAGAAAGAGGGTTACACACCTCTAACAGATCCGCTGCTGTGACCTACACATCAAAACTCCCGCGTGGAGAGATGTAACTTCAGCGTCTCCGTACCAAGATCCTGGTTGTGGGCCTTTTCCTGCCCCTCCACATACAGCAGGCTGTAGCCTTCCCACAGCTGGGCCATGCCCTGAGGACACATGGGGACCTGGGAGTCCTGGCTGTGCTTCACCAGCGTGTAGCCGATGCTGGAGCTGCGGCCGACTCCGCCAGGAATGCCGGGGCGACCTACGGTACCGGGAAGACCTGAGGAAGAGGAAATGAGAATGAATATTAGAATCCAGGGAAAGTTTGAAAGTCGGTTTCAGTGCATAATTCACATGTTGAAGTATTTTCGGTAGCTCTGTTGTTGTGTTTTTATTTGAGGAAATTAATAAATAACAAGACATGAATAATAAATGAGGAATAGGTAAAGTTTAAACAATGTTTGAATCCCAAAACTGAAGCATTCATCTTTTAAATTTCAAGATTTTAGAGATAATGAACTTTAGAACCATGTTAAATTTGTCGTGAGTTGCTTCAAAACAGACTCAAAACCGCTGGAATTAAACATGTCTTTGACAAAGACACGGTGAGGACAGACGAGAAGACGAGCAGGCACACCACTTACCTTGCTCTCCAGTTGGTCCCGGGAAACCAGGTGGTCCGCCATCCCCAACAGTTCCAGGCAGACCATTAGTTCCGGTCCTGCCCAGTTTACCCACAGGGCCAGGAGGACCTTTAGCACCTGCACCAGAAGAGTCTTTTATTATCGTCTCAATTTTTCATACATCAAAATAAAAGAAATTAACAAATATTTATTTTTAAACAGGTCAATATTTGTGAGATTGACTGGTTACCTGGGCGTCCTGGGATTCCAGGCTGACCGGACTCTCCGGGGGCACCAGGGCTTCCGCCTTCGCCTGAGAAACCCATGTCTCCGAAGGGTCGCCTGAAATCTCTCGGTGGCACCGTGACTCCGGGGAAACCCTTCCGACCAACACGCCCTGGAGAAGAGGAGGAAGGGAGGGGCAAGATGGGAGGACAAGGGAAGAGGAGGTGAGGCATGAAAGAAGAAAATTAAATAATTCACTTCACTAAATAAATTCTACTCCTGAAAAGAGAGGAGTCGTCCTACCTCGCAATCCCTTGGCTCCTTTGTTTCCATAATAACCAGGGTCACCAGGGAAACCTTTTAGACCAGAACCTCCGGTGTAACCACTGTCACCTCGTGCTCCTAAAAAAAAAAAACATGTCATACTTCATTGTCTTATTTGTAATATTTTTTTTACGTTTGGTTAGCTTTACTCTACCTTTGCTACCAGGGAAACCGGGGCTTCCGGGGCCCCCAGGGATTCCAGGTTCTCCTTTACTGCCGGGGGAGCCAGGGAAGCCTGGCAGCCCAGGGTCACCTCTGTCTCCCTGTGCTGTGCCTGGACCAGGGGGCCCGGGTGGACCTGGAGGACCCTGGAGACCTGGAGGAGAGAGGAGAGGAGACAAGGGTTAAAAGGATAAAAGGAAGCAAAAGGAAAGAAAATGGAAAAGAGGAAAGATGTATTTACCATACTCTCCATCCAGTCCAGGGAGTCCGGGATTTCCCGTAGGTCCAGGAACATTGGACCCCACACTCTCACCAGGAAGTCCTGGTCGACCAGGGAATCCTGGGCGTCCAGAAATACCTGACACAAACACATAAACACAAATCAGCCATTAGTCATTATTTTAACATTAGATTTTTTGATTCAAAATCAATCAGCACTTCTAAGTTCAGTTAATCTGTGAGTCTAAGACTGCCTTACCTGGCTCTCCTCTCTCTCCCTTCCCTCCAGGGTAGCCGGGAGCACCTGGGTAGGAGACGCCCCTCTCTCCCTTCAGCCCTGGAATACCAGGGGTACCTGGAATACCTCCTACAATTCCACCTGGACCCAAACGGAAGCAAAATGTTTAACAGCGGTTCATCTTTAACATTTCTGAACTGCAGCAGACAGATGAACGGGTGTGTAAAGACGTCCTTACCTGGAGTTCCAGGGAGGCCTTTAGGTCCTGCAAGGCCGTTAAGTCCATCCAAACCAGGGGGTCCAGGCAAACCTGTAAAATTACAACACAGTGAGTGGGTTTGTTTGCTGCGTAATGACAAAGTCAGGGAGCCTCAGTGGTTTCTCTTTCACCTTTGGCTCCAGGTCCTCCAGGACCTCCAGGCAGACCAGGGGCCCCATCTGCTCCTCTTCGTCCTGGGTAGGAGGACAAACCCTTTGGTCCGGGGAAACCAGGGGAGCCTGCAGAGGGGATGAGATACAAATGTTAAGGAGACATATTCTGCTTATAGCTCAGCTGATAATTTCGTAAGTGTTACTCTAAAACGTTAACATGCTCTAATGTTCAGAAAACCATTACTGCAACTCCTCTTTTCAGCCTCTGTCTTAAAGACATGGTTTCAGCCTCTGTCTCTTTAAGGCCCCCCTCCTGATAAAGCCCAGTCTGCTCTGATTGGCCAGCTGGTCCATTCTGTTGTGATGACTTGTGACCTTTAATATGAAATTAATTTGTTTGTTGTTGTGTCGTTCGGTGTCTCTCACCCATTATTCCAGGCCGTCCTCCTTCACCAGGAGCTCCCTTTGCTCCAGGGAAACCTGGACTTCCTGGAAAGCCATTGTCACCGGGAGCGCCGTTGTTACCACGACCACCTGAAAAGAGATATTCAGTCTGATGGGGAACAGATTCTGTTGGAGGCGCAGGATGTTTTATATCCAGTTCTGAGATTCCCTCTTTGACAAAATGTATTGATGTGAAGTCAAAAAGCAGAAGGATTGAGATGAGTTATTGTCGTCATTATCAGCAGGAACATGAACCAACACACGTGGTCAGTATAGTTTCACTCCCTCCAGATGTTCCTGATATATTATATTTAATTACATAAGGTCCATGTGACCAATTCATCCTCGAATCCAAGTGATCCTTTGTACCAGATTTGAAGAGATTCCCTGGATGCGTTCCAAAGATGTGTTCGTAAAAAACTAAATCAATCCAACAGTGCCGAGATGAGTGTTGAGGGAAATATTCAGGTTAATAAATAGAAACAAACAGAGAGTCTGGTAGAACAGATCATATATCAAAGTGTAAAAATTGGGAATAAAATCTGATCAATTTGGTAACCAGGAACCGAACATGTGAGTCTCACCTGGGAAGCCTGAATCTCCTGGCTGACCTTTAGAACCTGGACCTCCGGGATAACCAAAAGTATCTCCGGGTATACCTGAGGGGAAATACACGCCATAGATGAATGTTGCCCAGTGGCTGGTGTGAAGCTGAATCCATATATTTGATTAAAGAGCAGATCTGTTGAAGGATTGGTTTTGACGGTAACTGATATTTACCCTTGTCTCCAGGTTTACCAGATTCTCCGGGGTTACCAGGGAAACCTGGTGAACCATCCTCACCCTGGAAAAAGCCGTCAGAAGTTGAAGGTCACTGGCTGAACCTTCAAATGAGTATTTCTTCTGAGTGTGTGTGTGTTTTCTTACCCTTGCTCCAGACATGCCAGGGAATCCCATGATTCCAGCCTCTCCCTTCGGTCCAGGGTAGCCTGGACCTCCAGGCTGTCCGGGGAGCCCAGGCTGACCTGGCTGTCCTTTACTCTGCTCCGCATAACCAGGAAGTCCAGGCAGACCCTGACGACCAGGTAGACCTGGCAGACCCTTGTCACCTAAAACCCGGTTCATAGTGGTTGGAGGTTACAGGTGTAAATGTTCCCGTTGAAAGCAACATTGTGTTTGACATATACAGCTGTCGAAGTATGATGCAGCAACAGGAAGCAGCGTTACCTCTGGGTCCGGGGAAGCCAGGAAGTCCGTTGCTTCCAGGGTTTCCGGGGTCTCCTTTCTCCACAAAGTATGACGGACCGAATTCTCCGGGCAAGCCGGGGGGGCCAGGGTATCCCCGCTCACCTGTAGAAGCAAAAACAAACCTATGTGAAGTGTGACTTTACTTGACTGGTGTCATCACACTCGATCTTGTTCCAGAAAATTTTACCTTTCTGTCCGGAGTATCCAGGTCCACCAGGAAGTCCATCTCTTCCAGACCCCCCGGGCAGTCCTTTGCCTCCTGGGAAGCCTGGACTACCAGGGCGCCCTGGTAGTCCAGGGAATCCCGTCAGTCCTTGAAAACCTCTCTCACCTGCAGAAAGGCACAAATAATCCAAATGAAAGCACTGTTAGTCACTGTGGGACGTTATCGTTTAAAGAGGTGGAGAGCACCAATGTACCCTTCCTTCCTGGGATCCCAGGAACTCCCGCTATAGTTCCTGGTCCTGGAGGTCCTGGGGGTCCCCTGGACCCTGGAGAACCAGGGGTGCCAGGCAGTCCTGGGGTTCCCTTCATGCCAGCAGGCCCTGAGAATCCTGGGTCTCCTCTGTCTCCCTTGCGCCCGGGATAACCTGTGGATGTGTGGACGATGAGGGAACAGATGATGAGACAGCCAAAGAAGAAATCACAATAATAATCTATTCTACATAAAGAATATGGAATATTTAGATATGATAATTACTACATGTTGGGTAACAAAAATAAACTTACCTTATTTTTTTTATAATAAATTAACTTACCTCCAATACGTTTGTTAATAAATATCAAAACAAGCAATTTAACAATTTTTTCTACACACACACACACACACACTCACACACACACACTCACTCACACAATGACACAAAGCAATGTAAGCATATATGTCCCATTGCATTATTTATGACCTCTGCAATTGCACTTAGCTTGTCGACGTCATTGAACTTAAACATGTCTGGATTTTAAACATTTAAACTTCAAATGTGTAATTATGTTTAATTTCATTCAAATATTTAAGAAACACAAGTGCAATTCCAGACTGAATTAGTGAGGTTGAACCTCCTGAGGTTTGTTTGTCCCACAGGACAGCACGCTAACCGCTACTGGTTTACATTCTTAAAAAGGACGGCCATTTTCAACACATCTGCTCACATCATTTCACTAACATGTCACTCCTCTGCAGGACCATGCCAGGATGTGCTGAAAATAAGAAAAGCCTTTTTAAGAGTGTAGGATAAGCCTCTAGATGTTAAACAGCGTTTTGGTCGTTACACAAACCTACTGCAATTAACACAATAACAAACATATCTGGCACAGATTAGATGCAAATGTCTAATTGAATTACAGGGGTTAGTTCTGGCTGCAAAAAATAAAAATAAAAAACCCAAACACTGGTAGTCACGGTTCTTGGGGAAATGTTTTGTTTCTGAATGTCTCACAACTAAAATGTCCATCTTCAGTTGACTTTTACAAACAGCTGAACGAGACTTTGACTGGGGTGTGATGAGGTCATCTCCGTCCACTGACAGTTTTTTAGGACATTTTTCTGAAGGCGGTCACAGAACACATGTTCAGCTTGTTTACATTGAGTGTGAGGAAATCTTTTGTTCATCGTGGATCAACAATATAAATGATTGTATTGTAATGCAATTACAAGCAGAGACCATTGGTAAAGATCTTTGTCGTATTTTATCATCTCTGCTGAACAAAAAACAGTTTTATTGAAAGTTGAGAGAATTTAATTTATGTTTTATTTGCCTTGTTAACACCACGGGAAAAGGGTCACGAAGAAGAAACACAACTTGTGCAAACTTCTTCGCCTTGGATTTTTCCGTAGTTTCTGGCAGAATATCTCATCTTTACCAACAGTCTCTGAAATCTCCCTGTCGCGCCTCCAGCAATCCATGTTGCCCCAAACTCACTGATTGTGCCAAGTTAAAAAAGTTGGGAGATGCATGCAGTCATTTTTTGTTGCGTGCTGCTATTTGCATTGAATCAACCCTGTCAACACTTGTTTCACACCCCAACACTGATTCTGAGATTGATTGAATTTCGGAGATGGACATTTGTTTCGCTGCACAGATGAGAAAGTGAGAGGAGGCAGACAGTTAGAGGGAGGGAGCAGTTAAAGCGTTTTGGTCTTATGCATGAACAGCAGGAGGATGGAGGGATGGAAGCAAAGGGTGTAAAGTAAAGATTGGATGGATGATGGATGGATGGATGGATGGATGGATGGATGGGTGGGGGAGAGAGTGTCTCACCTTGGCAGCCTATAACGAGTGACCCAACACCAAGAACAAAAGGATGGAGAGATGAGAGGATGGATGGAGATGAGGATGATGATGGTGTGTGGGAAGAGAGGAGGAGGAAACACAGGACAAGGAGGAATAAAAAAGAGGAGGAGGATGAGGAGGAGGAGGAGAGAAATACACAAAAAAAAAGACTGGGATGAACCAACACTGGTGAAAGTGGAGGGATGAGGTGAAAGACATCGTCACTTTTCTTTTTCTAGTTTCAATAAAGCTACGAAGACAAACACATGATGTTTTAAATGTGGAACACAGGAGACTACACCTTCTAAAATGTGACTACATTTGACAGAAGCCAGTTTTGCCTTGGCACAGTTGCCGAATCTCCTCCCTCACCTGGTGGTCCGCTCAGTCCCTTGCTGCCAGGAGCTCCGGGCCGACCGGGGAGGCCACCGGTCGGCTCACCTGGAGGTCCAGGGGGGCCAGGGAAACCAGGAAGACCATTAACACCGCTCTCTCCCTTTCTTCCAGGAACACCTGAACGTCCGTCAAAACCTGCCAGAGGAAGAGGAAGAGGTTTATAGAGGTGCTAATTCAGCCGATCACTTTGGACGGTGTGAGCGTCTCAGTCTCAGACCCACCAGGTGATCCAGGTCCCCCCGGCGTCCCAGGTTGGCCCTTGTCTCCAGGAAGTCCCGGTGAACCGTCTCGTCCCGGAACACCAGGCGTGGCTCCCAGTACCTCTCCAGGCTGGCCCTTGGCTCCAGGACGCCCAGGAATGCCATCCTTCCCCCTGGCTCCGTCATAGCCCTGTCCTGGGATACCTGGAACTCCAGGATCCCCTCTGGGTCCAGGGAAACCTGCAGAAAGGAAGGGAGGTCGCTCCATCAATCATGATGTTTGAACAAACATGTTGTGTGATAAGAACTAAACATTTATTTCACATGAATTTACCTTGTGGTCCAGGTTGACCTCCAGTACCGGGATCTCCTCTTTCTCCTTTGGCTCCGTCAATGCCGGGACGTCCTGGTTCTCTAGCGAAACCTGGTTGACCTTTCGGGCCTGACAGGAATTAAAATTTACTTTTAAATTTAAAAGTAAATTTAGATTCTGCCTTTGAATTGAGTTCATTAACATTCCTGCAGATTATCTAAAAATCCTCCGGTGCGCAGGAAGTAATGCGTTTTATTTTTCTGGTTTGTTTATAAGTCTGAGTTCAGGAATCGCATTAAAACACATGAAGAAAATATAACTTTCTCATAATATATAAGTGTAAACTCCCAATTGTATTTGTCTAATTGATTTGAACATTCAAAGAGCTTTAACATTTCTGTTCGATCGTACCTGGTCGTCCAGGTGAACCAGGGTAACCGGGATCTCCTTCCTCACCAGGTATTTTGCAAGGCAGCAGTTGGCCTGGTAGCAGTCACATACAGGTTAGCAATCGCACATATGCACTTTAATACACATACACAGGGAACACTCGAACACACAACTGTAACATTAACGACTAAAACAGTTTTAAATAATATTTTATAAAAACCTCATGTATGAGATTTACAACATAATTATATTATCTTATAATTATATTCACAACCAGGTCTGGTTCATGTTTTACTTTGTCAAAAACAATATTCTCGTTTCATCGATTAGAAATATTTATTCCACAATAAATTCTTTGGTGAATGTCGTTCGCGTTGTTGATTGTCTGTCGCCCCCATTCACGCCATCACTGCGTTTACTCTTTAACTCAGCATCATGACAAGTGTTGTGTGAATGTCGTTAGCTGGAAATTCATTGTCGTATTAAAGGGCAGTTCAAAATATTAGCAGATGATGGACATGATAATGAATTAGAAAGTTAAGTATAATTCAGTGTGTGTGTGTTTGTGTTTGTGTGTGGGGGGGGGATTTGTGTTTCTCTTTATTTCCCCTCCCTCCCTCACTGGTGGTTAAAAGCGTTGAGCAGAGGCGGGGTTTGGAAACATGCGCCAGGTTTCAGCAGCTTTGATTGGAGGAAATACAGGAGGTGATTCGGGGTGGAGTGTGAACTGAACTCAAACTGTCAATCATCCACTGACTGCGGCCGAATGGAAACCCTGAGACTCAGGGAGCGAGACGCTTCCATCGGCTCCGTCATGAACAAATGATTGACAGCGAGCCAGGATGTGACAGACTACATTTCCCAGAACTCCTTTGCTCTGATCGAGTCCTCGTAAGCTACTGATGGGTTTATTGATGAGGGTAAAGTGATTTAATGATGGTTCAGTTTGATTCATTAATTCAGGGTTAGATTTTGGAAAACGGCTGCAAAAGGGAAAAAAACTATTTCTGACATTTACAATAAAACGTATTATTCTTAACGTGGCAACTCAAACGTTCTGATTAATGACACGTGTTGTTAATTGAAACTTACAAGCTCTTTATAAACGATGACCTGCCAAACTGAACTAAGGCCTTTCTTGAGTAAAACTCCCCCTAGTGTTCACAATGAAAACACACCTCATTGACCTTGATGGCTGCAGCTGTTTGGAAGCATCACAAACTTGGGCGATGACTATTCACTCAAATTTTAATGATCTCTATGATTTTCTCTACTGACACGTAGATTGTATTAATGAATGGAAGGTCAACAAAAAAAAGATGTCTTGCTCATTAATTTTAGGAACAAAAACACCAAATATTTAGCAAAATATATTTTTTTATGGGTTTTTAACTCACAAAATAATACAAACAATAAAAAAAAAAGACTTATCCATCAGATTTTCATCAGAGATTGTCCTTCAAAATCTATTTGATTCTAAATATGATCATTATTTACAAATTAACATCCTGTACTTTCTTTCCTTTTACTTCTATAGAAACAACCAGTGGAGTCGCCCCCTGCTGGTCATTTGAGAGAATATAGGTATCAGGCACTTCAACATTGGTTTCATGTGCCTTTGTATTTATTAGCTCTTAATTATTTTATCATTCAGTCTGTGATTATTACCAACTACCCAAAAAAATGGCATTATGACGTCAGTAAGCTGTTTACATTGTGAACACGTTTTCAGACACTTTGATAATTTCTCCCTGAGCAGAGTCTTGATTTCCTCCTCCACCGTTTCTTCGTTAAGCGATCAGCTGTTCTCGAGGGATTTCTATCAACGACTTTATGAATCCACCAGAGGCTGCGCTGCCTGAACCTGAGGCCCGTGACTCGGGCTCGTTACTCTGACCGGTGGATGAAAAAGTTAGTTACCCACCCGTTCCCTCTCCGACGTCATTAACCCCTCCACAGCTGTTTTCACCTGGACAGATACACATGCACAGGGGAGGTCAGAGAGGTGGATGAACAGAGAGAGAAGGAGAGAGAGAGAGAGAGAGAGACAGAGAGACAGAGAGACAGAGAGAGAGAGAGCTAGAAGATGGCGGCATACAAAGCCAGTCAGGGTCATTTGCATGCGCCAATAAAGCAATTAAATTGTTTTTCATCAAACAGATATCAGCAAATCAGCAATCACTTCCATTCAATTAATTAAAGGCTCATTCAGTTAAGGCAAAGTGGAATATTAAAATGCTTCAAATGTAAAAAGCGCTTAAAAACAGATTATTCCCCTCGACAGGAGGAAGGGAGAGAAGGAGCGACACTTCATCAAGCTGTTTATACGTCCGCTCTCTCTCTCTCATCTCCTGCGAGCGACAATAACCTTCGTATTAAAAGCAAAAAACAAATCAGTCGTTTAGCATTAGCATCACGATACGAGAGCACACATTCATACTGAGCTGCCGCTGAAGACCTTGTGTCGTTTAGTCTCAGAGAGAGAACGAACTGAATCAACGCTGGTGTCAATTTCACAGATTTAACTTTATTTAATCAGTTTTATCATATTATATATTTAATTTCATTCTGTGTATTCAGAGTGAAATAAACACCATCTTGTTTTGGAATACTTCTTCTCTCGACCTCCTCTGAGACTAAAGAAGCACAGTGGCTGTTGCGCAATCAGCATTACAATCTCAACAATGTGCATCAATCAGTCGACTAATGAAGCAGTTTATGGATTATAGATTATTGGCTGCAGAAGAGGTGCACAAGCACATTAATGGAGACCATTAATCATGTAGTTAAGTAACAGTGCTGCCGCAGCCGAGGCATGAAGCTGCTTCTGCACAGAAAGTCTAACGTTGTCCCTCCAGGTCCTGGAGAGCCGGGCCGCTGCACCAGGAAGTGTTTGTCCCCTAGAAATGTCTCCTATTGGTTTATGGTGTTAAGATGAGGTTGCTATGGTGACAACAGTATGGATGGATGGACAGTAACGGGATGAGATAGATGTTTGATCAGGGTTTCAGTCCTGTGGAAGGAATATGGCATGAGACACACACACACACACTTTCTTTGTCACGCTCTCTCAACACGCCACCTCCCAGCACTTCCTGTCCTTTCTTGCGCTTCCGTCATTCTTGCCCGTCATCACTTACCTCTCTGTCCAGGTGAACCAGGTGACCCTGGTAACCCAGATATTCCGGGATCTCCAGGCTCTCCACGAAAGCCTGGGGTTCCGACGTAGCCGATGCCGGGCTCGCCAGGGCCTCCGGGACGACCCTTAGACCCCGGGAATCCCGGGAAACCTCTCTCTCCAACTGTGCCGAAGCCAGCGTCGCCCTGGGGAGAGGAGAAGAAATAAAAGGAAAGGAAAGACAAGGTGAGGAGAGAAGAGGTTGTATTCAAATTTGTGCTCAAACCTGCAGGTGAGCACAGACACTCTGTATCTCAGTACTTACCGGAGGCCCGGGTTGTCCTGGGAAGCCAGGTAATCCGTCTCTGCCAGATTTTCCAGTTTCACCTGTGGGTCCTCTGGGCCCGGTAGCTCCGAGTTCTCCCTTCACCCCCAAACCCAGGTTGGGGTAATAAGACGTCCCCTTCTCTCCCTTACGGCCATAGACACCCGGTTCACCTTGTCGTCCCTGGAAGAGGACAGATATGGCAGATTGACAGCTTCAGTGTTTACAATGACAAACACTTAAAATATCAGTGTCAGAATAGAACTCACAGGAGGTCCCTGAACGCCACCAAAGCCAGGAAATCCCAAGTCACCAGGTTCTCCCTTTCGTCCGTTGAAGCCGGGGTTGCCATTGGGTCCGGGGGGTCCGCGTACCCCTTGTCCCCCGGGAATAAATCCTCCTCTACAGTTACAGTCGCCAGGATCCCCTGGAGGACGGAGGAAACACGGAAAACACAAAGATAGACGGAGAAAAGACGTTAATATTTGAATTCATGTTTAAAGGAGTTCAGTTTTCAGAGGACAGTTGAAGCATTTTATACCAAACATAAATGAAATGTTATAAACTGGTTATGTGCGTGCAGGTGTAAACAGGAAGTAGTGTGTGTGTTAGAACCTCTGAAGCCTTTGTAACCAGTGTCACCAGGTTGTCCTTGGGGGCCGGGCTGCCCAGGCTGTCCAGGGTAGCTGGTGGGGCCAGTTGTTGGTGAACCTGCAAACGTGTGCACACACACACACACACACACACACATACACATACACACACACACACACACACACACACACACACACACACACACACACACACACACACGTTACCAGTTAAAGTTCAGTCAACACGTTAAACTCATCACAAAATTTCCTGAAGCGAAGAATTTTTTAGATTTCACACTTTGATCAGAAGCTGAATCACATTGATGTGAACTTGATGAATTCCTTCAGCGTTTCTCGTCTCAGAGCTTTTATTCCCTCTCACCTAAACATTTGCACGAGCACAGCTTGTTGTCACAGTGTGAAATCAGGGTTAGTTTGCTCTGTGGGCTCCTCAGATCTGACAGAAGATTTGAGCTGCTGCGGCAAGATGACAGACGCTCATTCAAAATAAAAAATAAAAGCATTAAGTTGTGTTTGTCACAGTGAAAAATATAAATCAGCTTCGTATTCAGCTTGAAATTCAGTGATTTTACATCGACTATAATGGCTAAGAGCTAGTTGCCACGAGCAGCATGCAGAGCGTGTGGCTGTTTGGCACCGACACAAACCAAACACTTTTCATCTTATTATCATGAATCACGAGGTTCATTCTGGACCCAAACTGCCAACATTAAAAAATCAATCAATAAACAACTGAATAATATATAAAGAAATAAAGAAATAATCAAAACATATCAGTGAAAGGTTGGTGATGAAAGAGTCTGTTTGTGTTTTTCTACAGTCATTCATTTATTTCTACATTTCTGGATTCCTATTGGTATTCGTTCTTATCTACATTTATTTAATTTTCTAACAAAAAAGAAATATTACTGTAAAAATAAATAAATGAACAAATGTGGGAATAGAGAAATAATTAAATGTACAAATATAGAAAATATAAATAAATAAATACATTAATGAATGTAGAAATATATGAATAAATACAAAATCTACTACAGAAATAAATAAATATCCCATTTCACCACCAAAATGTATTTATTGTCTATTCTTTTATGTATTTAATTATTGATTTCTGTATTTTTTTATTCATTTCAATTTCTTTACCTTTTATTTGGGCAGTTTCAGCCTTCAACAAAGGTTCAGAACTTTTAAACTGCGTCTGTAATGTGAACTTTGGATCTGGTCATCGTGAACAGATATTTTTTAAATGTTCCCATTAAACTGAAAGGAAGCGTTTCATTATCATTGTTATTATCGTTATAACTTTCTTTCAGTTTGTGTCGTGATTCTTTCTCGTCCTTCGTTTCTTGTGTTGGTGCCAAACTAAAAAATGAAATAAAATAAAAAAGTCCCTGTTGCAAACACTGCCAAGCATTAACGTCCATGTAGAATCAGTGAATGTTCGTGACAGCGAGAAGCAGCTTGGAGTTCAGAGGCGCTCCCTTCCAAGTCTGAAGCCACGAGGAGGCTGCGCCGGCCTCAGCTCTACTTACCACCGCACCTTGCACACAGTACAGCGCGGAAAGTAAAAGCACCGAGGCTGAAAGTTGTGTCTGTTGTTCTGAGATTCGCGTCGGCAGGCTGTATATTGTCATGGTGCCCAGAGCAATATGGCTGCCTATAGGAAACCTGTGTTTGACTGACCTTCGGGCAAGATAGGGTGGATGACACACGGATCGCCTCTCGAGCCTTGGAGGACAGTAAAGTCAATCAGCCATGATGCTTTAAAGTCTCGTTTTAGCTTGACTTACCGATGAGTCCTGGATTTTATGGCGGTAAAATTAAAAAATCCACAGCTGCAGCTCCGAGTGAAGCTGTGATGGTGAAGCTGCTGCATCGTTTTATCTTAAAAAACTGCTCATCAAAGGTTTTAACAGGGAAATAAAACCACAGTTAAATATGAAAACACATGCAATATTTATTTTTATCTGCTGTAACCCAGGAGCCGTGCCGGTCTCTATGGCGACCGCCTGTGAGGAACCAGAGATCTTGTTAATCGTTTCTGTGTGAACGTACTCGAGGGGCCTGGAGGTCCGGGGGGGCCGACGGGTCCGGGGAATCCAGGGGAGCCTGGGAGTCCCTCCACGCCGTAGCCTGGTATACCCCCGCTACCCTTCTCTCCCTTGGGGCCTAGGATGCCGGGGAAACCTCGGGAGCCACCACCACCTGTGGGGTCTGTGCAGAGAGGATGATCGACAGACGTTTGAGATGAGAATCTTAATGTGAGAATTTACACACACGATTGATTGGACGTCTTCATCCATAAAGTGATGTAGTTAATTAAAAAGTGTGATGGGTGGATCTAAAGACAGTTTTTAAGTAACTTGCCCAGCACGGGTCCTGGTGGCCCTGGTTGTCCTGGATAACCAGGAGATCCCTGGTCACCGGGGGCGCCAGGCAGGCCGTTGAAACCTGGGTCACCTGGTTGTCCTGCAGCCAATCACAGAACAGATGGTTAAAGCTGAACGCTCACACGTCATCAGGGCATCAATAACAATGAGGAACGATAATGTTACCTTGAACAGAGGTGCCCAGGTCATTCACGTAGGCGGGAGGTCCTGGTGGTCCGGGGTCTCCCTGGTCTCCCTGAGCGACGCAGGTTCAGGACAAAACGCCACAGACGAGGAAATAAGAAGAGATGTCTTAGACCAAGATGAAGGAATCAGAGATGATGATAGAAAACTGTGGGAAACTCAGATTCTTATCTAGACGATTAGATGATGATTGATATCTGGACAAGTTTGACGTCTGTAAAGCAACCACAGGAAACAGGAAACGGTCCAAAAGTTAAAAAAATAAAACCATATCATACCAACATTGTATAAAACGTTTTTAAATTTGCATCGAATAAAACATTTTAAAATAGAAAATGTAACATTGGCACCATCTGCTGGCGAAACACTGATACTGCAAGAAAACGTGTTAACGGTCGTTACCTGCAAGAAGGTTTTAAATTTGTTCCTGAGCATAACTGATAATTAAGGACAACAGCTATTATTGTATTGATTAAATTGTGTTTATATAAATGTTATTTTCTTATTTTCAACATCATACATGTTTGAGTTGCTAAAACTAAAAGTTGCACTATATGAACAGTGAGCATTCTTAGATGTATTTACATTTTGATCGTAGATTTATGAGATGACAGGTCAAAGTTTTAATATTCTTTAACAAGTCAATAAGAAAGTGAGATTCTTAATATATTTTTGCTGGACGGTCACATTTGGAGCACAAAGCTGCTGTTTGTCGCTCGCTGCTCCGCAATGACCACACAAGCTGCGGGGAAACACAAACACACATTTTACCTTAGGTCCGATGTATCCCGGTTGCCCGGGGAAACCTTGGTTACCCCTGTATCCCTGTGTCGGAGAAAAAAAGCATTAGTTTGAATTTACTGCAGCTTTTTAGCATCATGTCGTTCCTCATTCATTTATTATTGTATTTATCTGGACATCAGAGGAGGAAGTAACTAAGTACTGTAACTAAGTACTTCCATAATCATCACATTTCAGAGGTGGACGAACGTACCAGTTGTCCTGGAGCGCCAGGGGGGCCGTTAAATCCAGGAGGACCCTGGGAAAAACACAACATCTCGTTTTCATGTTTTCTACACTTTTTTCTTCTTCTGCTCTTAAGAGTGAAATGATTGTAGTTCAGTCAGACGTTAGCTCTTACTCTCGCCCCGGGGTATCCAGGAATGCCCTTCTCTCCAAGTTCACCTTGATAACCGAAGGGTCCCTGGGTTCAAATGAAAAAGAAAAATTTTAATACTGAGTCAAGTTTAGTTTCTCAAGCAAGATTTTTCTCTCCTTAAACTCGGATTGTCTGATTTCAAGTAGTATTTTTAATGGCTCGTGCAGAAATGACTCTTTGAATTTATATTTCTGATAAAAAAAGCAAAGTTTTATTCTCACAGGTTGACCGGGGTTACCGCTGAATCCTCGGACGCCCTTAGGTCCTGGTTCCCCCTGCGACAGAGACACAACAGAGATGAACGACAGTTAAATTATCAGCAGCATCCTGAGCATTCAATGATCAGCCTGTGTCTGGGTTTCATGGTTTTATAAGGTTCTTTAGATCAACACTTACCTTATCTCCTTTGTAGATAGTGAGAGTTTGTTCGCTTCTTAGCGACCCGTCGCCGGGGGTGCCGCTGGGTCCGGGGAGACCCACGTCGCCCTTCAGTCCGAGATACACAACACACCGTTAGCCAATCGGGTGGGGGAGGAGGAGGAGGGAGAGAGAGAGAGAGAGGATGATGGGAAGTGAGAAGGAAAAGAGGAAAAAAAAACGAGGAGGAGGTGGAGATGACAAAAGAAGAGGAAAATGTTCAGGGAAGGGAAAATAAGAAATGAGCAAAGAGGAGAGATGAAGAAGAGGAGGATGAAGAGGAGGATAAGGACAGATGAAGAAGAGGAGGATGGAGAGATGAAGAGGGATGCGTGAAGTTAAGAAGGGAAGGAAGGATGCAGATGATGGAAAGTGTTGGACGGAGGAAGTGAAAGTTGTCAGGCCGCCACCAAAATGTCAACACACACACACACACACACACGCAGTTCGTACCTTGTCTCCTTTTTCTCCCTGATATCCGTCGCTGCGACTCCCCTGAAAACAACAAGGGTTCCACACGACGTTAAACACGAGTCACCTTCACACATCACTGTTTCCTGCCTGACAATAGATTTTATGATATTTATATCAGAGTCTGTTTGTTTTACTCACCATCAGCCCTGGGGGGCCGGGGGGGCCAGGAGGACCCTAGAGACAGACGACAGAATCAGACAGTGAAAATCACTCATCTGTTGCCGTGTGAGATATTAAGATGGAGGAGAAACAGATGAACCGGTTTACGTACCTGGTATCCCTCAGGTCCTTGTGGGCCAGGTAAACCAGACTGACCATCGGAACCTCGTAATCCCTGCGGACGTTAACAAAAGAACCAGGTCAGAAAACAGAACGCTGACGTTACCACTGAACGCGCCTACAAATATACATATACATTTATCTTGATGATTTTCTTTGGTGTATAAATGTTTTTAATATTGTTTAACGTTCTGAACATTTTGTAAACTTTACAGTGTGAACGGTTGTGGACTTACAGGTCGACCGTTGGGTCCTGGTTCACCTGGATATCTCTACATGAGGACAGAAGAAGTTGTGGTTATAAACCTGCACTGAACCATCAGGGTGAGTGACGTGAGTGAGAGCTCTTACTGAGACGCCGTTGTCCGAGATGTATCGAGGTTCTCCTTTCTGGCCCTTTGGCCCACTGGGCCCCTGTTAAAGGAAAGGACTCCATTACAAGTGTACAGCCTGTAGACAAACATATGAAAGTATATATATATAAAAACAAAGAAGAGAGGATGAAGGTTTATCCTCACAGTAGGTCCAGGGTATCCAGGTGATCCGGTCCCGTAGCCGGGGTCCCCGGCATCTCCTCTGGTCCCGTTACAACCGTCCAGACCAGGTGATCCTCTGCCGCCCTCCAGACCAGGGTGACCCTGCAGAGAGAGGCACACATCAAATGAAAACTTTTATTTTCTATACATTAGCTGGTATTTGTGTTTCTATTTATAGAAATTTGAAATCAAGTTTATCTTTGTCTATAAAATATCAGTCTCAAAAATCTGTATTCGTCTGGCTCTCATCATTATTATGTGAACTTTTACTTTTAAGAGTTATTCTTCAAACTCTCTGCAGATACCAGGTGGTAAAATCAAACACCGTGTATCTGTATTTGTGTGAATATTTATTGTGTGTTTGTATTTTTACTTACAGGAACTCCATCAGTTCCCTGGAACCCGGGCACTCCCATTGGTCCCTGCACAGGTCAGATATACATCATTTACATCCAGGTTCAACTTTGTTGTAACACACAAGTTCACAACACATGAATTTTGAGATCCCGTAAAGATCAGTAGCACCCACTTTGTCTCCTTTGGGGCCAGACGGTCCCTTCAGGCCGCTATGGCCCTTCTCTCCTTTAGGCCCTGAAGGCCCCAGGCTGCCGCGGTAACCCTCTGGTCCGCTCTGACCCACGTCGCCAAGGGGCCCAGGACGACCCTGACACACAAAAGAGAACGGACACAAGAAGATTGTTGTTGATGCAATAACACAAACATTATGTCCAGAAGAACATTTTATTCAACACTGACGTTTTGGAGATTTAATCAAATCTCAGAAGGAAGTTGCATATGTCACTTTTTGAATCTCAGATAAAAAAAGAATAAATATATATTTTTTAA